CACTGGGGAATGTGGACTAGGTAGACCATAGTTGAAATGTCTCTACGAAATTCCTCTCTGCCATTGTCTCTTCCATGTGGAATTAGAGTTGGCTTTCTTATAAAGCTCCTCTGTATAGAGCAAGTTTTCATCACTGTTATTGAAAAATTCATCCAAAATTGAGTTGTTCATGAAAAGACCTTTATAGTACATGCTATTCAATTTTCAATGAGTTTTGCAGTGACATTTATAAAAAATTGCACTAAATAGAGGAGCTGACCATACCATTAGAAATAGAACATGGCATAACAGTGACTTCACATAAAGCTAGGGAGACCTGTACTGCATATTATTTTGAGACCTATTTTCACTTTATCCCAGTATTAATATTCTTTAGCACTTATGTACATGAATTCCGTCTTTCATTTTTGGGCTCCTTTGTATGTGTGTAATTATAATCTCTTGGTACTCCCAGGAATATAGTACAGGAGGGCCCCATTTGTACGGGTGTTAGGTTGCCAGCCCCATGCGATAAGCGAAAATTGCCAGCTCAATACAGCTAGGCCTAAAAAAAAATAAAACGTAAGCTAAATACACAGTACATACAACACTTGCCTCAAAATACAGCACTGGTCGCCCTACCCTTACATAACTGTTGTACAAAAATTACAGAAAAGTGATAAAAGCAGCAAACACAATTAACAATGGCTCAGTTGAAAGCCAACGAAAGCGTGGAACGCCACAAAGAGGGTGCCCAATATGCAGGGCCCTCCTGTACACTACCATACTCTGGTGTCCTGTTTGAATTTTTTACAAATGTTTGTACAGTTTGCAGTGGTTGTACTGCATGCTGCGTCCTCTTTGAGACCATTTCATATATCAAGTCTGTATGTTTGTGAAGAATTACTCTCTTCTGTACCTTATTTTTTTCCATAATATGATATTGTGACTTGTTTTTTACCATTGTTACTTTAAAATACTCTTGTGTGTCCTTGTATCCTGTTATGAACTAAAATACTCTTGTGCGTGTCCTTGTATCCCATTATGAACCTACATGTGTATCTTATCTCTTTTTTCCCTTTCTTCCAACCAGGGTATTTCCCTTGTCATCTGTCTCATACAGCAATTCTTATTGCCAATAAAAATCTCAATGTAATGAATCGGAGTCACCATCTCTCCTTCCTTAGATCAAATCTGATTGAAGGTTTTAAATGTTTAATCATATCCGATTAAAGGTTTTGAACATTTAATCGGGTTTGATCTAAGGAAGGAGGGTTGCTGACTCCGATTAATTACAGTAAAAGTTTTTCATCAGCAATAAGAGCCTTTTAATTTTGATTCACAATTAATGGATATTTTTGCCGATGACTTCAGAGTGGCCGACGAGAGAAGCAAATACAGTAAGTCTTCACTTAACATCCCTTGATAGTTCATGAAAACTTTGCATTAAAATCTCATATGTAATAATCAGAAGCACATCTCTGCCTTCCTTAGATCAAATCTGATGAAGTTTAAATGTTATCTATCCTTAAGTTTTGAACATATCGGTTTGTCTATGAAGAGGTGCGACTCCGATAAATTAACGTAAAGTTTTTCATCAGCAATAAGGCCTTTTAATTTGATTCACAATTAATGGATATTTTGCCGATGACTTCGAGTGGCGACGAGAGAACAAATACATAAGTCTTCACTTAACATCCTTGATAGTTCCTTAAATGCGACTTAAAACGATAGGATGTATACAAACCAACCTTGCTGCCCTGTCAACTTTGCAAAACTTCAGTTTGTTCTGGGTCATTACTATGTTTTTTGTTGCCACAGACATAAGGGGAGCATAGTGCACCTTTAACACTCATTGCATCAGAGTTACATCAAGGAATAAATGTTTGCAAAGTGAAAATTGTAAGGAGCACCTCTTACCACCATTCAGTTCAGAAACAATAACAGATATGGCTGGCTCGCTGAGCGCTTTCCTACCACGTCGTTTATTGTCGTTCACTTGTATGGTTATCGTATACTTTATGAATTTTTATTTTACACTAATCTGCATTCATTCGATGTTTCCTCATCAATGTTATAACGAAACGACGTTATTCAAGAATCTGCTGTATATCAAAATTTTTAATGGTCTTTTAGTAGTCTTTAAGCATTAGGATTAGTTTGCCCAAAATGCATTTACATACTAGTGGCTTTCTTTTGTACCTAATAGTGTTTTATTACATGTAAACTCTATTATCCTTATACAGCATAAAAAGAAATTAAGATTTGGATATAAATAACCATATATCTTCAGCCTTTCAGCATTGATCTATCTTAGACACAGCTTTGTGTTGTTATTGGACTGTGTTGGTGTCAGCGTGCGAAATTTTACTTGATGTCTTCAGTTGTCATTAATTGGTAGCTCATGGCAAGGAAAGTGTCATTATTAAAAAATGTTGCAAATTTGCATTAAAACGGTGTTGGCGCTGCAGCACAGCAGGTGTAGTGAGAGGCTTAATGTTGGCACTCTCCATAAGCCATGTGTGTTGTAAGAGGTAACTAAAATGCTGGGAGCAAGGAGCTAGTAACCCTTTCTCCTGTATATGTAAATTACTGCATGTAAAAGAAGAAATTTTTTTTCTTTTTTATTGGGTCACCCTGCCTTTCTGGGTGGCAGCCAGGTCACTCTGCCTCGGTGGGAGGCAGCAGGGTCACCCTGCCTCAGTGGGTGGCAGCCACGTCACCATGCCTTGGTGGGTGGCAGCCAAGTCACCCTGCCTCATTGGGTGGCAGCCAGGTCACCCTGCCTTGGTGGGTGGCAGCTGGGTCACCCTGCCTCAATGGATGGTAGCCAGGTCACCCTGCCTTGGTGGGTGGCAGCTGGGTCACCCTGCCTCAATGGATGGTAGCCAGGTCACCCTGCCTTGGTGGGTGGCAGCTGGGTCACCCTGCCTCGGTGGGAGACAGCCAAGTCACCCTACTTCAATGGGTGGCAGCCAGATCACCCTGACTCGGTGGGAGGTGGTTAGGTCACCCTGCCTCGATGGGTGGCAGCCAGATCACTACCCTGCCTCAGTGGGTGACAGCCAGGTCACTCTGCCTCAGTGGGAGGCGGCCGGGTTTCCCTGCCTTGGTGGGAGATGGCCAGGTCACTGTGCCTCGGTGTTTGGCATCCAGGTCATGGAGCACCCTGCTTCAGTTTGAAGTGGCTGGGCCACGCTGCCTCGGTGGGAGGCGGCCAGGTTCCCCTGAATTGATTAGAAGCGCAAGGTGTGTTAAAAAATAAATAATACACACAGTTGTGCCCAAAACACTGAGTCAGTTGGTGAAAAATTCTTGCTCAGGGAAGCGTCTGGATTTTTTTTTGGGATATAGTATATCTGTTTGGCACTTCCTGGCATGGAGACTGATTCATTTTTAAATTTTGCAGTTGCCGTGGAGCGCCAGTTCCCCTGTTGATTAGAAGGCATGTGTTAAAAATAAATAATACACCGGTTGCTAACAGTAGTCAGTTGGTGAAAAATTTTTGTCAGGGAATATTTATAATGATTTATTTTTACTGATTTATTGTTTAAGTGACTTTGATTGCAAGTGAATTGGATTCATTTATTTCGTTGACAAAGGTGTTCTCGTGAGAGGCCTGATAATAATAAAATACCTCGACTTGTACAGTAAGTGTTTGTGATCTCTAAAGGGTTCTTGATCAGGAATTAAAATGTTGTACCTTCTCTGGACACGTGGTTTAAAAGCGTATAAGCAAACATAGAATTTGTTGAAAGCGTTGATTTGGCCTAATACATAATAATTATTATTCGGACTAATAAGACTCTCCGATGTGTTAGATGCATCCCGTCACTGATCTTCAGTTTATAGGACACGGTGATTTTTGGAGACATTTTATGGAAAAAAAATGCATCTAATAAGCCGTGAAATACGGTATACTTTATATCAGCATGCTACAATGTTTGTACAAAGGTGAATTACATTTAGGTGTGCATGCAGAAAGCCCCTTAACCCTTAAACGGTCCAAACGTATATATACGTTTTTTCAACACCTGAAAGTATGTAAAAAAATGAAGATCTTCTTTTTTGTTTTACATTTGAAAACGTGTAAAAAAAACTTTTATCTACATTATTTTTTTGTTATATTTGAAAATAAGTAAAAAAAAAAGTAGATCTACTTTTGTAGCTACGAATTTGAACGTCGATCTGTTTGGATCGTTTAAGGGTTAACATGCTGAGCATGTCGGGCAAACTTAAGACTAACTTATCAGTGTTCAAGTTTCTGACACCAGCAGGGTTTCTCATTTACTTTCCATATTGTCATAATCATACCAGATACCTCCAGTATTTTAAACACTACGTACAGGAGGGCCCCCACTTATACAGCAGGTTAGCTTCCAGTCTACTGCTGTACAGTGAGGCACCACTTATACAGCGGATTAGTTTCCAGTCTACTGCTGCAAAGGAAGACCCTGCTTATACAGCAGGTTAGGTTCCAGACTACTGTTGTACAGGAGGCCCCACTTATGCAGTGGGTTAGTTCCAGGCTGCTGCTGCACAGGAGGGCCCCACTTATGCAGTGGGTTAGGTTCCAGGCTACTGCTGCACAGGAGGGTCCCACTTACACAACAGGTTAGGTTCCAGGCTACTGCTGTACAGGAGGGCCCCGTTTATACAACAGGTTAGGTTCTGGGTTAAGTCACCCTACCTTGGTGGGATACAGCCGGTACATTAAAAAAAAAAATGTCAGTCACCCTAATTGTATAATACAGTGGATCCCCGCATAACGATATTATTTCAATCAAGAAGTCCGTTTGGGTGCCATTATAGACCAAATTTGTTCCCATAAGAGATATTGTGAAGTAGATTAGTCTGTTTCAGACCCCCAAAAATACACCTCCAAAAGCACTTACAAAAATACACTTACATAATTGGTCGCGTTGGGAGCTGGTCGTTATGCGGGGGTCCACTGTATATACTGTATTAAGCTTTATAGAAGTAAAGTTTATTTCTTGTTTGATCTTTATCTTATTTTTCAGAGTGTTTTCCTACTTGGATGTTGTTTCGTTGTGTCGGTGCGCACAAGTGTCTCACTACTGGCATGTGCTGGCCCTCGATGGCTCAAATTGGCAACGCATTGATCTCTTCAACTTTCAGACAGATATTGAGGTGAGGATCCAACCAACATTAAGAGGCAAGTAAGTAACCCCGTCTTCTAATAATATGCTCATTTTTCCACTATAATCTAACTCGTCCATAATAACTATCGCCTTTGCTTTGTCTGTTTCGTAAGGTGAAGTCTTGCATCTTTCCTTAATTTGCTCAGACCTCTCCAACACAATTATCATCAAAGATTTGATAAGTTATACCATGAATTAAGGAAAGATCCTGAACTTCACCTTATGAAACAGACAAAGCAAATGCAATAGTAACTATGAACAAGGTAGATTATAGTGGAATAATGGATATGTTATTAAAAGATGGGGGGAACACACTGCAGTCTCCCTTGCATTATGTGAATTTACTATTGTGCATTGCTCCATTTCTATTCAAAGTTAAAATTGATTTCATTGGCAATTTAGTGTGTGTGTGTGTGTGCGTGTACTCCCTATTTGTACTCACCTATTTGTGTATGACAGCGGTTCGATGTCATAGCTCCTGGCCCTGCCTCTTCCCTATTGCCACTAGGTTCTACTCTTCCTGCTCCTAGACCCTTTGATCATACCTCGCCTTAAAACTATGTATGGTTCCTCTCTCGATACTTCACTTCTTAGGCTGTTTCCCGGTCTTGGACTACCTCTATATGAAGAAATCACTTCTTAAATCCCTTTGATTATTTAGTTTAACTTCAATTGTGACCTGTTGTGTGTCTGTGTCCCAAATATCTGGAACATCTGTCTTTGTCCACCTTTGTCTATTCCGCGCCAGTATTTTGTATGTCGTTATCATGTCTCCCCTGACCCTCCTGGCCTCCAGTGTCGTCAGGCCAATTTCCCTCAACCTTTCTTCGTAGGACAATCCCCGTAGCTCTGGGACTAGTCTTGTTGCAAACCTTTGCACTTTCTCTAATTTCTTGACGTGCTTGACTAGGTGTGGATTCCAAACTGGTGCTGCATACTCCAGTATGGGCCTGACGTAAATGGTATACAGAGTCTTGAACGACTCCTTACTGAGGTATCAGAACGCTATCCGTAGGTTTGCCAGGTGCCCGTATGCTGCAGCAGTTATCTGATTGATGTGTGCCTCAGGAGATATGCTCGGTGTTATACTCACCCCCAGATCTTTTTCCTTGAGTGAGGTTTGCAGACTTTGGCCATCTAAACTATATTGTGTCTGCGGTCTTCTTTGCCCTTCCCCAATCTTCATGACTTTGCATTTGGCGGGGTTAAACTCAAGGAGCCAGTTGCTGGACCAGGCTTGTAGCCTGTCCAGGTCTCTTTGTAGTCCTGCCTGATCCTCATCCGATTTGATTCTTCTCATTAACTTCACATCGTCCGCAAACAAGGGCACTTCTGAGTCTATCCCTTCCGTTATGTCATTCACATATACCAAGAACAGCACAGGTCCAAGGACTGACCCCCTGTGGAACCCCGCTTGTCACAGACGCCCACTTTGACACCTCGTCACGTACCATGACTCGTTGTTGCCTCCCTGACAGGTATTCTCTTATCCATTGCAGTGTCTTTCCTGTTATGTGTGCCTGATCCTCTAGCTTTTGCAGTAACCTCTTGTGAGGAACTGTGTCGAAGGCCTTCTTGCAGTCCAAAAAAATGCAGTCGATCCACCCCTCTCTCTCTTGTCTTACTTCTGTCACCTTGTCATAAAACTCTAATAGGTTTGTGACACAGGATTTTCCCTCCCTGAAACCATGCTGGTTGTCAATTATACACTTGTTTCTTTCCAGGTGCTCCACCACTCTCCTCCTGATGATCTTCTCCACGACCTTGCATACTATACACGTTAGTGATACAGGTCTGTAGTTTAGTGCCTCATGTCTGTCTCCCTTTTTAAAAATTGGGAGTTGCCCAGTTTCAAATGATGTGTTGAAGATCTTTGTCAATGGTACACACAATGTCTCTGCTCCCTCTTTAAGGACCCACGGAGAGATGTCTGGTCCCACCGCCTTTGAGGTGTCAAGTTCGCATAGCAGCTTCTTCACCTCCTCCTCTCTCGTGTGTGTGTGTGTGTGTGTGTGTGTGTGTGTGTGTGTGTGTGTGTGTGTGTGTGTGTGCGTGCGTGCAATATATGGTTACCATATGCAATTAGCAAGGTTTGTAAAGTACATTGAAAAGGCTTGCTATGCTAAATTAAGTTTTTATGGCATGGCTGAGCTTGAAGACTGAGACACTTGTTCAACATTTGGGAAATAAAGACCTTTATTGTGGATGCCCAAATGTTGCACAAGTGTTCCATTCTTCAACTTGTCAGTTTTCTAAGGAATTTATGTACATTACATTGATTGAGACTAGTACGGGTACCAAGGTCATGGAACACGTTACATTGATTGAGACTGGTACGGGTACCATGGTCCTGGAACACATTACATTGATTGAGACTAGTACGGGTACCAAGGTCCTGCAACATGTTACATTGATTGAGACTAGTACGGGTACCAAGGTCCTGCAACACATTACATTGATTGAGACTAGTACGGGTACCAAGGTCATGGAACACGTTACATTGATTGAGACTAGTACGGGTACCAAGGTCCTGGAACACGTTACATTGATTGAGACTAGTATGGGTACCAAGGTCGTGGAACACGTTACATTGATTGAGACTAGTATGGGTACCAAGGTCCTGGAACACGTTACATTGATTGAAACTAGTATGGGTACCAAGGTCCTGGAACACATTACATTGATTGAGACTAGTATGGGTACCAAGGTCCTGGAACACGTTACATTGATTGAGACTAGTACGGGTACCAAGGTCGTGGAACACGTTACATTGATTGAGACTAGTACGGGTACCAAGGTCCTGGAACACGTTACATTGATTGAGACTAGTACGGGTACCAAGGTCCTGCAACATGTTAAATTGATTGAGACTAGTATGGGTATCAAGGTCATGGAACATGTTACATTGATTGAGACTAGTACGGGTACCAAGGTCCTGGAACACGTTACATTGATTGAGACTAGTACGGGTACCAAGGTCCTGCAACATGTTACATTGATTGAGACTAGTATGGGTACCAAGGTCCTGGAACACGTTACATTGATTGAGACTAGTACGGGTACCAAGGTCATGGAACACGTTACATTGATTAAGACTAGTACGGGTACCAAGGTCCTGGAACACATTACATTGATTGAGACTAGTACGGGTACCAAGGTTCTGGAACACGTTACATTGAGACTAGTACGGGTACCAAGGTCCTGGAACATGTTACATTGAGACTAGTATGGGTACCAAGGTCCTGGAACACGTTACATTGAGACTAGTACGGGTACCAAGGTCCTGGAACACATTACATTGAGACTAGTATGGGTACCAAGGTCCTGGAACACGTTACATTGAGACTAGTACGGGTACCAAGGTCCTGGAACACGTTACATTGAGACTAGTATGGGTACCAAGGTCCTGGAACACGTTACATTGAGACTAGTACAGGTACCAAGGTCCTGGAACACGTTACATTGAGACTAGTACGGGTACCAAGGTCCTGGAACACGTTACATTGAGACTAGTACGGGTACCAAGGCCATGGGTACCAAGGTTCCTGCAACACGTTACATTGAGACTAGTACAGGTACCAAGGTCCTGCAACACGTTACGTTGAGACTAGTACGGGTACCAAGGTCCTGCAACACATTACATTGAGACTAGTACGGGTACCAAGGTCCTGGAACACGTTACATTGAGACTAGTACGGGTACCAAGGTCCTGGAACACGTTACATTAAGACTAGTATGGGTACCAAGGTCCTGGAACACGTTACATTGAGACTAGTATGGGTACCAAGGTCCTGGAACACGTTACATTGAGACTAGTACAGGTACCAAGGTCCTGCAACACGTTACATTGAGACTAGTACAGGTACCAAGGTCCTGCAACACGTTACATTGAGACTAGTACAGGTACCAAGGTCCTGCAACACGTTACATTGAGACTAGTACAGTACCAAGGTCCTGCAACACGTTACATTGAGACTAGTACAGGTACCAAGGTCCTGCAACACGTTACATTGAGACTAGTACAGGTACCAAGGTCCTGGAACACATCTATGCCATAAAATAAGGGACACCAGTAATGTCTAAAACTAAAACTTATACAAATAACCTCAATTTGGAAAGGAAACTTTAGATGGACTTTGTGTCCATCTTGAATCATTTTCAAGCTACACTTGCAACTTGATAATGGTTTGGGAGAGACCAAAATATGGTCTAAAGATTCTTCTCTGATTTGCAATTTAGTTTTCAAACATTTGAGGAAAATTTTCAAAGGTTGTAAGTGTTTTATTTTCATGGCTTCCGCCAGTATTTTATTGACAATCCTTAAACATTTTATGGTTATTTTCTAAAGTGTTTCTGATTCACGAAATTGTTATAACACAATTGCAACAAGCTATGGAATGGGTGGGTTTTAACCCGTAAACGGTCCAAGCAGATCTACGTTCACATGTGTAGTGCTACAAAAGTATATCTACGTTTTTTTTACATATTTTCATATATATATAAAAAAAAAAGTAGATCAAAGTTTTTTTACACATTTTCAAATGTAAAAAAACAAAAAGAAGATCTACTTTTTTTACATACTTTCAAATGTTGAAAAAAACATGTGTGTTATATAATATATATATATATATATATTTTTATATATATATATATATATATATTTTATATATATATATATAATATATATATATATATATATATATACAGTGGACCCCCGCATAACGATGGCATCACATAGCGATTATTTCGCATACCGCTTACTTTAATCGCAAAATTTTTGCCGCGCATACCGATTAAAAAACCGCTCCACCGATTTTCGTCCGAGACGCGTCCAATGTGCGCCCTCAGCCAGCCTCACATGTGCCGCCGTGCCATTGTTACCAGCCAGCCTCCGCGGTAACATCCAAGCATACACTCGGAATATTTCGTATTATTACAGTGTTTTCGGTGCTGTTTCTGGGAAAATAAGTGACCATGGGCCCCAAGAAA